TTTCTTGCACTCCTGCGTCTTTGCACTCAGGATTTGCTCCCTTGGTTGTGGGGAGCCTGGTTCCTCTAAACTGATAAAATCGTTCCCCTAAGAAAGGATGCAGAGACTGAGTGAGTAGAAACCAAAGGTGCGAGGAAAGCCTGTTAGGATTGCAGTGATGGTGTGATTTCCTGAGTCGTGAGGCCCTGAGGTAAAACGTCTAGATCATTAACACCCACCAGCCTCGAGTGCCAGTGTGAAGGGAAGGAAACCGGGTCCTCAGCTTGAGAATCGTTGGGCTGCGTTCTCCAGGTGGCCCAGCAGGGGGCGGGGGAGCCAAGAGGCTGATCTGATCATGAACCGGTTCCTGATCCAGGGTGAGCGGAGTGAGGAAGTGGAGGCTAGGGTCTGCTGGGAGCAGCGAAGAGGAAGCACGAAGCGGATTTGGAGCAGGTTCAAAAGTTACCCGGAGGTGCTGCACTCCGGATTGTTGACGTCGCAGTCTTGAGAGGAATACCAACCCTCCTGCTCTTCAGAGGGTTCCTGAAGGCGTCTCCCAGCCTGTCCTGTGTCACGCGGAGAAGCTGGGGCGTTTGGGGTGGGAGGAGTCCTCCCAGCCTTCACACAGCTTCCCTCGACCTCCTCCTTACCTTCAGTGTCCTCTTAGGCGTTAAGGGGAAGCCATCACTAACTTTCACGATCACAGTGCAGTGCAGCTTGGTCAGAAGTCAGCGAGAGCCTCCACCCTGGCCCTCCTCTCCAGGCCCCACGGGGTCATGGAAGGGGGCCCGGTGTTGGAGTCGGGAGACCTTGGTTTACGTCCCAGCTCTTCTTGCTTACTGAGCAAGTCAGTGGGCCTCTCTGAACCTCAGTTTCGTTTTCTGTAAAGCAGGCATAATGATACCCACCTCCCCTTCAGGCACACGGTCAAGGCCGAGTGAACAGTGAGCAGTGGCTGCACCCGAATCTTTGACCGGACATTGGGTTGTTAGATCACCCTGGAGTTGGGCCTGACCCGGGGGCGGGTGCTGAAATCTTTGGCGTTGATGGACTGTGCCGCGTTCTCTTTGGGAGTTCTCGACTGTGTGTCCGTCGCCCGGAAGATGCATGCTGTAACTCCCCTGAGATTCCATTTGGTCCACATCTGACTTAGTTTCTATCTTCTGCACTTCCTCTTTTCCTCAAGCCCCGTTTCTTTCCCAGTAGTGCACGTCTGGAGGGCTGCACACTCAGTTGCATCACTGCTCTGGTCTCTTCTTGTTTCCCAGGTCGCCCTTCTGGACATCGATATATGTGGGCCATCGATTCCCAAGATGATGGGATTGGAAGGAGAACAGGTGAGAACTGTAATGCACACCACAGCCAGTATCCTCACGGCAGACGGCCGGGCCGAGCGCTGATCCCAGACGGAGCAGAGCCGTGCGTCTCCACCCGGCCATGCTGAAACCAGACAAACATTCACTGGTCCGCCTCCACGTGAGCCACCGCTGGGGACGGGGGGGGGGGGGGCCGCGCCATTGTATATAAAGTCCACCCACGCCCTTTGAGAAACATGAGTTTCAATGCCTTCTTGGAGGGGAAGGGAAACACGAGTGAAATGCAGAAGTAGGACACAGAAACTTCACTCTGCCTGGGAAAGCTAGGCCGGTCTTTGCCAGGGGTCCATACCCTGGAAATACGGGAACGTTTTTGCCCTCGTCGTCACCCCGAGGGAGCTGAGGCTGCGAGGCAGGCGAGTGACCCGGAGGAGGGCCTCAGCCCTATAGCAGTCTGTACAGGTGCTGATCTCTCCCTCCTCGGTGGTAAGAAGCAGTCCCAGAAAGGGTCCCCCTTGAAGACAGTGCACTAAAGTGAGGCCAGAGAGCTAGGATGTTCCCAGGGTGTTAGATTGGCTCATTCTTCACATAACTGCTGGGCGCCGTGCGCGAGCTGGGGGAGCGTAGTCAACAAGGCAAATAAACATCCAGCCCTGGTGGGAGGGGGGCAGCTGACAGATCAAAGATAATGAGAGCAGGGTAGGGGGGATGGGAGGAGCAAGGGGAACTGCTGCTTAGGAGGGTGTGGTCCAGGGCATCCTGCTGGGGAAGAGCCTCCTGGGCTGAGGGAGCCAGGTGCAGGAGCCCTGGAGCAGGAGTGTCACCAGCACAATGACTAGTGGCAGGGTGACGGGTAGGGGAGCTGGACAGTAGCCAGAGGCAGGCAGGCCGGGCCTCTGGGCGCTACTCAGGGCTGGGATTTGCTGCTGAGGGCGCCTCGGGAAGGGGCATGACACCGTCCAGGAGGGAGGAAGAGCCTTGGGTCCCACACGTGTGCTCGTGTGCCGTCATAACCAGCTTCTTCGCACACGCCCACAGCACGGCTCTGTGTTTACTTGTCAGTTATGGGCACGTAGCACTGAATGTACCAACAGGTGAATATTTTATAGACGCTGAATTTTTTACGTGGTGAGATAAAATCGAAGTGATGCTGTTTTCTTCTCACACCCTGTGGGGTTATTACGTTTTTTACCCCCTCTTTTAAGCCTGCCATTGTGGAGGATGAGTTTAAATAGGGAAGAAGGTTTGTTGTTTTGTTTGTTTTAATCTTTGTTTATTTTTGAGAGAGAGAGAGAGCAAGTGGGGGAGGGGCAGAGAGAGGGAGACACAGAATCCGAAGCAGTCTCTAGGATCTGAGCTGTTAGCACAGAGCCTGATGCGGGGCTCGAACCCATGAACCGTGAGATCATGACCTAAGCTGAAGTCGGATGCTCAACCTCTTGAGACCCCGGGCGCCCGTTTTTTTTTTTTTGT